CTGCAGAACCTTCTTGATCTCATCTTCTGCCGTACAAGTCAACATATCTGCCATCACACCTGAGCATCTATAGTCAAACAACTCTGTTAAATTTAGAGAGCTATGTGAGTCTTCATGTACCATTCCACCTTGGAGGAACTCTTGGTAGTATCTAACTCTTGGTAGTATCTTTATATCTTTTATATCAATGAGGATCTCTCCAGCAGAGTTAACCAACTTCCGAATTGAGTTCTTGGACCTTCGGGTTTGGACAGCCGATGGAATACTGTCGTGTTTTGATCTCTATGTTTAAGCCAACTTATGTGTGATTTCTGCTGAAAGAACTTTTCTTCGACTTCTGCGTAGTGTTGCCATTCGACTGACGCAACTTGCTCTGCTTGAAAAGTGTCAGGGCAAGGGTTCCGTAAAGCATCTTCCTGTCGTGCACATAGCACCTCATACGACACTCTAGTTCTCTTTGTGATATCTCTATATCTCTCTCTGTTCAAAGCTCTAAGCAAAGGCTTAAGTTGTTTAAGCTTACGATGGAACCGGTTTAGCGCTGAGCGTGAGTGAAATAACGGCTCAGTCTCATTCCAATACTCTGATACAATATCAATAAACTGTGGATGATCAGCTAGGTAGTTAAGGAATTGGAAATGGTGCTTCTTCTCCTGCACGCCTTCCTCAATCTTCACCACATATCTAGCATGATCAGAAATTCCATTTGTTTCAAAGTTCGCAAAAGATTGTGGATATGTATCACACCATACCCTATTTATCTTGGCTCTATCAAGTTTCTTGCCAATGGGATCTCCATCTTGGTGATTCCACCAAATAAAAAGAGGGCCGTTATAAAACATATCCGTGAGTTCACAATCCGAAACCAGAGACTGAAACTCACGCATCCCAGTTTGATCTCCCAAGCCTTCAGTTACCCGAGAATGTTCCTCTGAAGCCAAAACCATATTGAAATCGCCAATGAGCATCCAAGGTAGGTTAGATGTATCCAACAACTCCTTATTTTGTTTTATC